TGTGGAGGACGTCGCTTCACTGGCCCATGTTGGTATAATCATTGTGCTCTTTCCCAGGTGAGGCAGTCGCTCGCCGGCCATTGGATGGCCGCTCACAAAAGCTCAGCCTGCTGCCAAGCAACCTCATGGCAGCCCAGCTCCAGGTCGAGTTGTTGTTCACCATCTTAGCTATAGAGGGCACAGCGTCACTGGCCCTCATGTGTGATCCAAACCGGGGCCCTGCTGCTTAGAGCTGGCGTCCCAAGCCAACTCCTAACTAACGTGCTACTCGGCCGGCCCTGGTATGGCAATTTCTGTCAAATAAAAATATTATGGTGTTCCTCATCCACCTTATTCATTGGATCTGGCATCATTAACTTCTGGCCCTTCCCCAAAGTCAAAACGATCATGAAAGGTAAACGTTTTGAATGGATTCAGGACATCGAGGCAGCCATGACAGCACAACTAAAGACACTCTTGAAAGAAGACTTCCAGAACTGCTTCAGAAAGTGGCAAGAATGATGGGATAAGTCAAAGCGAGGGGGAGTATTTTGAGAGGGATTGATGGCAATGTGTCTTTTACTGTAGTAAGTTTTTTTTTTTAATTTAAACATTCACTATATTGTTTGATCACACCTTGTATCAGAAGTCTCAAGGATAGTCTTCAGGATGAAACTGATGTGTCCAAATTAATATCTTGAGATAAAAGTTTGGGAAACTAGTGGAGGGTTGAATTAGTGACAAGTATAGAGAAAATGAAACAAAAGCAATGACAAGACCTTTATTAATTGTGGGGAGAACAAAGAACTGCAGGAAAGGAAAAAAAATCATGGCCTACCACATGGCTTAGTTGTCAATTGCACTTATAGAGTCATAGTAATAGAAAGACTGACTGCTGATCTGACCCAATGGTTATCAACTGGGAGTGATTTTGTTCCCCTCAGGGAACAATTGGCAATATCTGGAGACCTATTTTGGTTGTAACAACTTGGTGGGGAGTGCTGTTGACCTCTAATGGGTACAGGCTAGGAATGCTGCTGAACATCCTACAGTGCACAGGAAAGCTCCTGTCAACAGAGTTACATGCTGCAAAATGTCAGAAGTGCTGAAGTTGACAAATTAACCAAAACTATGATATAATTTTGTTGGGAGGATGGAGAAATCAGAAGGTTAGGTAGAATGGGAGTGGAAATACTGCTAATTCTGCATCTTCCATAATGGAAGTAGAAAATGCCTTAAACTCAGAAAATAGAGCGGGGTTTTTTTGAGACATGGAGGGTATGTTAAATAAAGTCAGATGAAAGAAGGTTAGTTTTTGCAGTGCTCTTTGTCTTGAATGTACCACCCATTGACCAGTCTGAGACTTGGGCAGTGGTCTGTCTTATAGTTCAGTTCACACAGTTTGTGGTATGCTGTTTGTAAGTCTAATTCAAGCTCATATGGCTTCGGGTTTAACCCCAAAGTTCATAAACAATTTCATGGGTCCATTTTCCTGAGCTGAGTTTCCTCTGCTGAGACGTTGGTACTTCTCAGTTCCTTGGACCTCCCCTTTTTTGGTGCTAGATCCAGAAAGCCACTCTGCCACACACTTATGTGAGTCTGCCCATGTCTGGGACCCAGTGACTGGGGGATAAAAGAAAGCAGTGGAGATTGGCCCTGCTTTCCTGGGCTACACAGGTCTTGCAATCCGAGAGGAA